ATTATCCATTTAAATAGTATAGCCGCACGGTTATACGTGGTTTTATTAATGATTCTAAACCCTCCCAAGCAGGCTATAGCTTGTTATCACTCACAAAGTACCAATCTCCAGGATGTGTCAACGTGACCGTTTTGTTTCCCCGTGTATATGATTTCACAACATTGGTTGTGTTGCAACTCTCAAAGCTTTCTTTGCTCACTTGACTAACACTATTAGATGATGAGTATTGGAACCCTGCAACCAGAAATAAACACAAAACAAAACAAAAATTAAAGACAACAAGTTGCTTAATTCAATAAGAATTAATGTATAGTATAACTTTTACTTGCATAGAATATCGCCAACGTTAAATTTTTTGTCATTGGACCATGTACTGAGGTCAGTGCTTATGTCCCAGCCAGAGATGTCCCCACATTGTAAGTTGTAGCAGAGCATGTCAATGCAAATCCAAGGACAGCAAGACCAAAAACAAGAACTGGAAGAGCAGCTTTCCCATTTCAATGGAGAATGAGAATGTACTGTAAGATGAGATAAAACATAAGAGGGGGATTTCATTTTATAGATTTATATGTTTGAGGATTTCCTATTATTAGATGTCCTAACTTCAACTGTGAGAATGTCTTGCATTCTTGATCAATTCAGAGTACATATATTGTTCCTCAAAAGCAAGTTGGTGAGCAGTTAAACACCTCCAACTCGAAACCTCCATTTTGCTGACTTTGTCAACAATATATATGCTTGTTTGCTTTGTACAAGAAATTCTGATTTTTTGACGATCAAAACCCTAATTGGGAATCAATCTTAATTGCATTGAACTAAATAGAGCTAGGGTTGGGGTTGATTGGAGGAAAGAGAGAAATAGAGGGAGTGGCAAGTATGTAAACTAGTGAAGGAGGGAGGGTGAAATTTGTAATTCACTCTATTTAGAACGTATAGCCGCGCGGCGATACTATTTTTACTATTTAAATATAATATTCGAATATATTTAAAATGAAGAGACGGTGGTTGTCTTCCAGTCTTCGAGCATCGAAGCTAACTAAATCATAGTGCTTGAGTATGATTCAATTTCAATGGTGCCCAACCAAAGTCACAAGCCATCTGTAAGATCTTTCAAGCAAAACCCATATTTCAGGCTTTAGCTAGCACTTGCTAGTTACCCAAATTATATATATATTGATATCCTTTTTTCCTTTTAAATTTTTTCCAAGATTTTCGCTTATCGATAAGAGTAGTTTAGAGCATTATCTATTATTATTAGACTAATACCTATAGAGGGAGTGGCAAGTATGTAAACTAGTGAAGGAGGGAGGGTGAAATTTGTAATTCACTCTATTTAGAACGTATAGCCGGGCGGCTCTACTATTTTTACTATTTAAATATAATATTCGAATATATTTAAAATGAAGAGACGGTGGTTGTCTTCCAGTCTTCGAGCATCGAAGCTAACTAAATCATAGTGCTTGAGTATGATTCAATTTCAATGGTGCCCAACCAAAGTCACAAGCCATCTGTAAGATCTTTCAAGCAAAACCCATATTTCAGGCTTTAGCTAGCACTTGCTAGTTACCCAAATTAGCTAAAAACCCCTTTAACCAGTCACCATTTGTGTTATGTTGCAAAAAGAAGCCATTTTTTGTGACCTTATAGTATGTTCATCCATTCTAAGTGGAAAAGATTAAAAATTTTGATCAGTGAACAAATTTTCTAACGTTTTCATTTTTCACCAGGTTCAAAGAAGAGAAGAGGAAAGCTTAGAAAATGGTGTGAGAGGCGCCTGTAAAGCAAAGGCCATGTATTTTCTTTGTGAATCTGTGACGGCTATAGAGTATAGAACACTAAATATGCAGCATCGAAGAAAGAAAGAAAAATACCCGTAATTCAACTTTAACTATATCTTTAAAATTTTCTTATCTTTGGAGATGTAATCAAAATGGCCTCCTTTTCTCAATAGAATTGTAATAATCAAATACAATAACAAATTTACATGAAATTAATGTAAATCAACAAACACAAGTAGAAATATTGACAAATTTAGCGATTGAGGCTTGCAAGAATTGCAATGCCCTAAAGACAGATTGAAGTACTTCAATTTAAGACTCTGGTGAACCAATTATATATTTGTACTCTCAAGACACTTAGAAAGGAAACTTGAAGACTGATACTCTAACATAGCACGAGTGGGGAAAAATCCCTTGTTTGTGAAGAAGAAGGTAATGGGTTTATATTGAACCCATCAGTTTTCCATCAATATAGACGCAACTTTTGATAGCAAAAGATGCTTCTATAGTTGATAACTGCATTCAACAAAGCAATTGCTTTTGAATGCTAACAAATAATATCAATTGCATTTGAAACAATGCAATTGTTCGAGCAAAACTGACTTTTGTATTTTTTTACTCAACCATAAATTTAAATATTATAATTATTTAATTTCCAACAAAGATCAGAAAACATCCAGCAATGAACTTCCATTCTTGTATATTCAAACTTGTTAAGGTTAATGTACTAGTGTTATAGCAAAAGCTATGATCCAGTTGACAGCAATGTTTATGTTTATGTTTATGTTTTTGTACTGAAGTGGTAAATTATGTAATAAAACTTGAGTTTTGCTGTGTGGCTAATTGTTCTTACACTTACAATTAAGCTCCTCCTCTTTGGTAATGTTGTCTCTTTCTCCTCTGTTTTGTTACATAATAAACCCAGATTTGTGTGTTTTTTCTTTCCCTTGTTTGTCTTGGCCCCTTTCCTTATATCCTCAAACGGCGTCGCCTAGTAACAATGCTTTTGGCGCGAGCGCTCTGTGTTTGTTCTAGATTTTTATTTTATTGTGTATAATTGATGGCCATTGAAACGTAAAAAGACAATATTACCCTTTCTTGTTAGTAATCTAAACGACATTATCTACTTAATGACCCCAACGTATCGAAATTATTGGAAAATTGCCAACAAAAGTCAACATATTGGGGCGTATGATTATTGTGCAACAGTGAAACTAACTGCCCCATCGGTGCATTGATTCAAATGGCAACTGTCGATTTTATAAGTACCCGCCAGCTTCTCTCTGCTCTTCAAATTGCAGAGCTTGAGAAAGAAAACGATGATGAGTTCGAGGGATCATCGAGTCGAAGAGGCTCTTCAGCAACTCGAGCATCTGCAGCTCCTCATGTCCATGAGACCCATTTACCTCCATCACGGAGCAACCCAGGAAGCCCAGAAGAAACCCATAGAAGATGAACTCGACGTGTTCGATGAAATGCAGCCGTGGGACCGGTCCTCTGTGGAGGTTCACATTTCTGAACCCAAGTTCCTGGAACGGCTCCATGGCATTCCCGTTTTGGATAATTAACAACCATTTCCAACTGTCTTTTTGGAAATTTCCCAGTTTTGAACTTACAGTTACGTATATGGAATCTACAGGAGACGAGGAAGGAACCAAGAATTTCAAAATACTGCTATTATTCTCTGGAAATGATTATTTGGGTTTGGGTTCACATCCTACTATTGGAAAAGCTGCTTCTAAGGTTGTCACTTTATCACTCTGCTTTTCTAAAGATTGGATCTTTAATTTACCACGTGTATATTAAAACCATGCATAAGAAGAAGTTGTATTCAACCAGGCAGCCCTACAACATGGAATGGGCCCCAGGGTTTCTGCTTTAATCTGTGGATATACCGATTACCATAGACGACTAGAGTCGGGCCTGGCAGACTTACAGAATAAGGAGGTATGCATGAACTGCTCTGTTTGATTACAAAAGTTAAGTTTTAATTCTGATTTCTTTAGCTACTTTTAGGTGTTTTAACTGAAAACTGATGCAAGCTTGTTTTAAATTTATCCCTCTAGGATTGCCTCCTTTGTCCCACGGGATTTGCAGCCAACGTGGCCTTGATGGTAGCTTTGGGAAGCGTTGGCTCTCTCTTGGCTGCTGACAAAACACCTTTAACTCATGAAAAGGTTGCCATTTTTTCTGATGCACTGAACCATGTGTCGATAATCGATGGAATTCGTCTTGCCCAACGACAAAAATCTGTAGAGATTTTTATCTATAGACATTGTGACATGACTTACCTTAATGACTTATTGTATGTCCAATCTTTGTGTACCTCTTCTTATTAGAGATGTTCTTCATTAATATTGTGTCCATAGCTTAACGTTGCAATTGTGGCTTGCCAGATCAAGTTGCACAATGAGGAAGAAAGCCGTCGTGACTGATAGGTAAGTGATGCTGTTTTGGAATACTAGTTCCTATAATGTCATTCCAGTCCATATATAAATTTCATCTTTGAATGGAGTGTTTCTATTTTGATTTTATCTGTTTGTCTTTCTTATGACTTGCATTTGTCTTTCACACCACAGCTTGTTTAGTATGGATGGAGACTTTGCACCAATGATTGAGCTGGTGAAGATACGCAAGGAGCATGACTTTCTATTAGTTATTGACGATGTAAGTCCTCTTCTCACCGATTGTCGTCAAATTACTAACTAATGATTGTCCAGTTACAATGGGAAAGCAACTAGTCCTGTTTGATTTAAATTTGTCTATATGAAAGGAAAAGTTTGGCTCTTGTTTTCATTTTCTTTGTGGCGTAAGTATAGTATTAGTCATAAAAAGGAAATTTACTATTTGATTCAAGCTCATGGAACATTCGTTTGTGGGAAAAATGGTGGCGGAGTGCTTTTATTTATACTGCTCCTTTTTGTTTCTTCTCTTATCTAACAAATACAGTTCCAGTCAGTTACACTGCTTTTTTCCATAATTGTCTTGAACTCTGTTTATTAAGTAGGAATTTTCATGTGTGACACTGACATATGTGATAATTATGTAAAACTTCTTGTGTTGATATGCGTTTAACTTCAGTTGATAGAAATTATGCCCTTTGACCCTGTGTGTCATCCTTTTTGTTACTTTCATAGGTCGGGGTAGGTCAAGCTATCTATGCATCTGGAAGTTTGTTCAATCATTCTTGTCAGCCAAACATCCATGCGTATTTCCTTTCACGTACTGCTGTATCTCATTCAGTTTGGTAGTATGGGATAACATTATGATGTTCATGCGGCTATAGTATCTACAGAATGTAGAGAGCCCTTTTCCCCCCCTAAACCTTCCCACATTTTGAAATACCAACGTGGGACTGTAAAAACTAAGTTTTGTTTCTACAGATTGGGCAGTGGGACTGTAAGGACCGAATCAAGTTTCTGGAAGATGAATACTCATTTCGTTGTCAGTGCAGTGGTTGTTTAAAAGTAAATTTTTCTGACCTAGTCCTAAATGCTTTTCACTGTGTCAAACCGAATTGTTCTGGCATAGTCTTTCAGAGCTCTGTTGTTGACTGTGAAAAAGAGGAACTTAAGCACTTACCCAACAACATCACCGCTGGCAACATGGAGCCTCATCTTCAGGTATTGTATGTTTCCTAGAAAGTACAAATTCTCCTGACTCGCTTTCGATTTATATTCATGTAATCATTCACTTGATGTTCGCACAAGCTGAAGAGTTCATCAATCTTGATGACATCGATATAGTGGCTCATCATATGCAAATCAATAGCGTTTTCCATATAAATCCAGGCCTCTGTTTATAATGTTGTTCTTATCGTGATCTGGAATCTTCCCCTGCAGCTGCAAATAAAGCATGGATTAGTATCAGAAGGTATAACACTGTCTGAAAACTGGTTCTGATCTTTCCAAATTTAGTGGGCACCTATTTCCTATGTTCACTCTGCACTGTAAGTCTTGTGTTCAATACTTGACAGATTACAGGATGCAATAGTGTCAAAAGATGTATCTAGCACCATACTGGTGGGTGCGTTAAGTTCTCTTGGTGTGCTGAGATCAACTTTCCATGCATATAATAGGAGCATTTCAGAAGAGAGTTTGTGACCACCCTTCAGTTTTGTACAATAGAATTTATATCATTTGAATGTGCAATTTGTAAGTACTAGATGCCAATATCTAAGTTGCTGTTATTGAACAACGTAGAAAGTGTTCAATGATTTTGGCACATATGACACTGAATTAGATCACACTTGACTTAAATGATTTTGATCTTTGCAGGCGGAAGACAATCTTGCACAGGTGTTTTGTTTCGTTGGAGAGTTGCAACCTGCAATGGAACACTGTAAAGCCTCAATCGAGGTAAAACTCTTGTTGTGCACAAGTCACTTAATCCTGAACTTTTTACATTTGTGTTGATTGGATCTAATTTCTGCGAGGATAAAATTCATAAACGAGACATGGATACCTCACTACTCACTTGTGTACTTCTTTAGTACATAAATAACTCTAAATGATGTTTTAATGTTGTTTCACATTGACAATTGGCAGATCCTGGAGAAGCTCTATAATCCTAATCACATTGGTGTACTTGTTACTTCATCTTGAACTTTTTACATTTGTGTTGATTAGATCTGATTTCTACGAGGATAAAATTCATAGATGAGACATGGATACCTCACTAGTCACTTGGTGTACTTGTTTAGCACATAAATAACTCCAAATGATGTTTTAATGTTGTTTCACATTGACAATTGGCAGATCCTGGAGAAGCTCTATAATCCTAATCACATTGTCATTGGATATGAACTTGTGAAGGTCTCGTCTATTCAGTTATCCTTGGGTGACTGTGCTGCCGTGGACGACTGAAAGGCTTTGAATATTCTCGATGATTTTCATCGAACAATCGTGTGTGATGTATAATATTACTACCTGAAAATTAGATAGTTAAATTCAAGAAATAAACTTGCAAGCGCACAAGGTTAATGCTATATAGCCAAGGCAAGTACAAGGTCGTTCCCACAGAGATTGAATAAATTCTCAAGTTGTTGTGAATTATGAACTAATTTAAATCCTAAATTACTCTAGACACCCTAATTAATAAACTTAAAACTAATGACTCAACTAAAACTTAATAAAGGAGTTTTGAAAGTTGGTTTTGAAAGATTTTCTTTGAAAGAACGTTGAAAACAAGAAAATTAAAAGACAAGATAACGAAGAAAAACATGAACTAAATAAGTTTGTGAAAGATTTTAAAGAAGCTTACCAAGACAACAATTTCACCACAATTCCTCTTATCCAAACCTTAGCATGCATACTATCAAAATTCCCAAGTTATGTTGATGATTAGTTCTCCAAGATTATGACTAATTCTTTTCACAGCAATTAACCACTTCTTCTTACATGCAATTTATCCTTGGCGTGAGGCATAAATATAAACATATAAAAAGACCTTAGGTTCAATGAGAACTTCACACAATCACACAAACCCCTAAGAGTATAGTGTTTACCTTAGGCGCATTCATGAATTTAATCATAAAAAGCAAAACTCATATTAGGCATGGCGTATACCCTAACATGCATCAAATTACTTAACCAAAAACCTAGATGGTAGCTAAGCATCAAGATCATTAGTTAGGAAAATAAGCACAGTGATTAAATTTCAACAACATGGAAATTCTAATAGCATGACATAACTAAGCTTTGAATAATTAGAAAAGGGTTACATTGTGTCTTAGTAAAAGAAAATTAGTTACTCATAATCATGTAACAAAGCAAAAATGAAACATGGAGAAAGAGATGAGAAAAACCCTCAGAGTTTAGAGGCACGGTGGCTCTTCCTTGCTCCAAGGTTGAAGTCTGAAATTTCTCGTGTGTCTCTTGAGCCCCCACGACCTCCCCTCTTAAAAGAACCTAAAACCTAGTTAGAATGGGCCTAAACAAGTGGCCTTACATGAAGACTGGATTTCCAAGTCAGTTCCTAACTGGAAAAGGTAATTAAAACTAAGTTTCCTAAAACCTCCAGGAAACTGCACGTGATCCTCATTGCGAATGCGATTTGGACACCTTTCTGACATCCAAAAATTTCGTACGACCACTCTTTGGAAAGCTCTGGACGTCTTCTTTTCATCCATATATCATGTGCCTCAATCCGATGTCGTATGAGTGAGTTGTGGCCAAAATACCCCTGCTGACTCAGTATTCTCCGGGAATTGATTTTTGCTGAATTGTCTAATTTGTCTATTACGATGAATATTTGGCGAATTTATTCATTCCGTGGCTCATAAGCTGAAAAACAGGAAATAACTAAACTCAGCATCTTTAGTCCAAATTAATTCACAAAACTAAGTAAAAAGGATATAAAATCATGTGAAATTATGAACATATCAGTGTGATAATTATATACAATGATTTCCTTGGTGTCTACCCAAAGGATTTCCTATTCTAGGCAAGAATCGAGTCCTTGATGAGAAACAAGGAATATATATAGGAAATCAACGAAATAAATACAAATAAAACAAGAATCTAAATCACGTCTCATTACCCACCTTGTGATATATTTTTGTGTTATTACGGATCATACATACAAGAATTTCCCATACTTTCAATTCCTTAAGAGGAGAGAGAAGCAGACCTCTTCTTTGAAGGACCGACAAAAATGATTCAGTCCGGCAAGTTTTTGGACTTCTTGCCCACCCAAATACTGTTGAGAATGTTAAAAACATAACCTGATCAGTTTGCGGGAGCATAATTACAATTTGAGTCTCCACATCTTTGAACATTGATGCATGATTAGCATATTTGGGTTGGAATAAAGCATGCATTGCTTGCAAAATCTTTTCGTTCACAATACACGCAGTAATTGCTGAAGGGTAAGAGAAAATCCCTGTTGATTTACTCCAACGCCATTTAGAAGTGCAATTTTAAAGACTATTTTTCGAGATGATGAAATATTTATTTTATTGTCATATATATTACGAATTAATATCAAGATTGCCCTGCTTGGTTTTTGGAAATTTCTACCAATTCGTGCACCAGTTCATCTTTACTCCTACTGTTCTATTTCCATCAGATTGTTATGCTTTCCTTTATACTGAAGCAACCGTATAAACGAATTATAATAGAATTATCTTTTCAATAACCGTTATTTTATGAGATTATTATTTTGTCACTCAAATCATTGTGGTACGGTTTTTATTGCTCCAAATTATATATGAAATAATCTTTAAGTTTGTGGAAGAGTGGAAGAAGAGGATTGGTATAGATTACCATCGGCTATCTCGGATGTCAATTATTGAAGAAAGTACTGTAAAGGTATATTTAAAACCAAACAAGTGAGAGACAATTTACAAAAAAACAAAAGCACGTAATCGCAATAATAGAACCAAATCTAATTAATAAAATTTCCATATCCGAGTGGTACACACTAAATCTAATTAATAAATAATTAGGGCAAACAAACAACCCACCAAGTTTAGGGTTTAGGGTTTAGGGTGTAGAAAAGCATAATTTTGGAAAGAGAGTCATATATCTTTTAGCCGCTTCTCTACCTGCTCACGCACTCTACCCATACGCTCCTCTAGCTGCTCATCCACTCTAGCCCGTTTCTCCAGGGCCTTGAGAAAGAAGAACTCAAAGTCACCACAAATACAATTAAAAAGTAAATAATAAAGAATAATAAGGAAGCCGTACCGATTGCATCGCTTTAAATTGTATTTCTCTGGCAATGTGTTTCTTTCTCAACCTCTCTAAACGAACCTCCAACTCCATCAGGGATTGTAATTTACCATTCAGCAGATTCCTCTCTTGATCAACCTTCTTCTCCCTCAGGGATTGTAATTCAACATAATACTCCTTGAACTTTCTTATCCAAGCACCAGCTGCAGCAACTGATCCCAACATTACAGACGATGCACGAGTACACGGAGATATACAGTCAGTACACCTAAGCCTGTGATCACAATAGACTCCGAAAACTTTCAGAAATTTCTGAACTTTCCGATTACAAATTTTGAACTCCTAAGAACTTAAAATTTTTAAAGACCTTAACTGAAAAATAAGATAGTTGGGTGAACATATTTATAAAAGAAAAAAAAAGGAAGTTTATGTTTGTTTTTCGATGTGGGACTCCAACTACCTAGTTCTTTCTTTGGCTTGAATATCAGCGTTCTTCTGGAGCAGGAAGTTCCCTGTGATCGCACGGGCGAGATTTCTTCACACCATCTGTGTTAGCTTTCCCAGAACTCTCAAGATTGACTCAACTTCAAGAGATGTCCCCGTCGTATTTGATCAGATGGTAAGGGACTTGGCGGACCCTGAAGTGGCTCTGTGTGGCAAGAACAAAGAAGCTGCTTTGAAGTTGAAGCAAAAGGGAAATAAATGCTTCTTGAGTTCTTTTGCTCGTAACTCCTTCGTTACAACTCCGTTTTGAGTCCACTACATGTCTACGGACTCGTTTTGTCGCGCTCTACGCAACAGTACAACTGGAATCCTCAAATTCCTTCCCGGTCAAAAAGTCAACTTTTAAACTAATAAAATATTTTAGGGGTATTTCAGTTTTTTTTTTTCAAATAAATTAATAATTAAATATTAATTTTAGGTTTGGGTTATTACATTTTATTTCTCTTCTCTGCTCTATATGCTCTGTTTCTCTCAAGTTTGAAAAAAATTTCTTTGATTTTGCATTAAATTTGCTTGGCATGAAGCCCCCAAGTCATTTGGATTTGGGGACGGTTGGGGAGTTTTCTTTGTTGTCTCCGATACCTCAGTGGCACGAATGCTCGATTTGTCTCAACCCCAGGGGTCCTTTCACAAGATTTCATTTAGCTTGAGAAAATATATCCAAGAAACAGAGAAAGAGATAATGTTACAAACATTTTTTTTTGGGTTATTCTATAGAGCATATGGCTAAGAAAAAAGCAACAAAGGAGGAAACACTCTTATCTTTGATATCTTGCATCAACGTGACTTAAATCTTGTGTGGAGAAGCCACTGTAAGAATAATAGCCTAGTCCCTAGCAGAGTCGCCATTTATGTTGGGGTCTTTTTCGTCCGAAGGCTCATCCGGGCTTTGTTGATTCTTGGATCGCCATAGAGTCATGAATGAA